TGATTTAAAATTTAAAATCTATAAAAAAAAAAAAGAATTTTATTAATAAAAACTTTGATAAATTCTTAATTATATAAAAATAAACAAATGATAATCTTTAAATATATTACTATAATAATATATAGTACAAAACAGACATAAAAATAACAAACAAATGAAAAAAAAAATATAAAATACATCCATAAATACCGCCTTCTTGTTGATGACCACTTAAAATTTCAAAATAATGAAAAATTAAGTGTAAAAATATAAAAGAAAAGGGAGTCGTTACTCGTCCAAATTATAAGGTGAGACAAGTCACCTAAAATAAATCTGCACAGAAATCGGGGTTCGATGGTTCAGTTAAGAGTGAGGAAAGGCATACGCGCACTTCACAATCCTCCATTTAAACATGGTTGCATACTCTAACATTGGGGTTTTGATTCAACTTATTCATTGTTTGTTTACTTAAGTCTTAATAAGTAAGCTTTGAAAAATAAGTGACCCAAATTGTAACATCTTTTAAACGTTTGGACTAAAATGAACAAAATCAAAGATGTGCATACACCATGAGCACAAGTAAAAAAATTAAATGGACTGATTTGATTAAACTCGAAAACATGGAGGACGACTTGAAAATATTTGAAACCTAGGGTTAAATTGCTTAAACATGAAAGTTTGGGTGAAATTTGAAATAAATAAAGGTGACTTTGACTTTGACCAAGATTAAAAAAAAATTAAGAACTTAAGTTAATTAACCATGAAAATTAGTTTAATTAAATGATTAATTTAACATTAATTAAAATTAATTAAAATTAATTAATCATATTTACTAACTTTTAATTAAGATCATTAAATAAATCTAATAATCTCAAATTAAAATCAATAAATATGATTAATTTATTTAAATTAAAATTAATTAATTTCACTAATCATAATAAATTAAACTGATTAACCTAATTAATTTTTAATTTATTAATCATACTTTTTTTTTTTTTGAACAATATAAAATTTTTTTTTGAGAGAAAGGAGAATGGGGGGCTTGGAATTTGATCCCAAGCTCAAGTAGTCCTACGCACGTCCCTTGCAGGGTGGCCATTAGACCACCGAGTGCGGGACAATTTATTAATCATACTTAATATTTTTTTTTTGTTTTTTTTTTTTATTGCATCATGTTAAATTGACCCGACCCAAAAACACAATCCATCAAACAAATGAACACAAAACAGATCAAACCTTAAGCACGAACCAAAATCTAGACGATATGAAGGGAAATTTAGGGTTCATCATATTTACTTCTGATTTCCAGCATAAAGAAAAACACATTCATTAGAAAATAAACTGAACAATTTTTTTTTTTTTTTCATTCATTTTCCAACAAAACATACAGAATCTTAACAAAAAAAAAAAAAAAAGCAAAGATCCACTGAAAGATCAAAACAAGCACGATTGATTTTTGAAAGAAAAAAAGAGAGATCTGGATTTGATGGAAGGAATCCCACCCACGGGATCAAGCTTCCACCATCTCCTTCACCATTTTCCCAACAAAAATCCTCTGTTCAGAGCTATACCTCTTGCAGCCCGTAAATCTCCTTTCTTAAACACCAATCTTCTTTCAACAGAAAAACACTCCTTTAGGCCGTCGTCAATACCACACTCAAAAACCAAGAAAACCTCTTAAACTCACCGATCCTTTCCTATTTATACAAAAATCAAACGAAACCCTAAACTCCCTTGTTCTCTCCTCATCCCAACCCTTCAATTTTTCTCTTTTTCCTTCCATCGTTGATCGAATGAGGCCAAACCTGGCCCTACAGAACAGCCAAGAAAGCTGGTGTGCGCTATTCTTCTACAGGTGAGGCAAGGATAGGCTCTTTTTTCTTTTGTCTGAGGTGTGCGGCATCTTGCTGAAAGACAGGACAAGGCGCAGAGCAGATTGCAGAACAGGGGCACAGCAGTGTGTAGGCTCGGTGCAGGGGCATGATTGGGGGAAGTAGGCGTGCAAAGGAGGGGTGTAGGGTGTATGATTGCCGATGATGGGTGTAGACGATCTGGATTTGGCGCAGCAGTAGGGGATCTAGGCGCGGGCAGAGGAGGGTGCAGGTGCGCAGGGGGTAGGGCGTGTAGACGTATGATTACAAGATCAAGCGTGCAGAGGGGAGAGTGCAGAGCAAGGCGGGGCGTAGGAGGGGGCATAGGGAGGTATGATTGCTGGCAGTGGGGCGCAGAGGAGGGGGGATCTGGGTGCAGAGGAGAGGGGATCAGGGCGCAGAGGTGAGGGGATTTGGTGCAGAGGTGCGGTGAGGGTTGCTGCAGGAGCAAGGGTTGGTGCAGAGGTGCGGTGAGCGTGGAGGAGCATGATGTGGTTCCAGAGAGGGAGCATAGGATGTTTGTGCAAAGGGAGGGGCTGGTTCGATGTGAAGGAGGAAGAGGGTTCCGGGGAGAGAGAGAATGAAGACTTTTAAATTCTTTTTTTATTTTTTTAGAGATTGGGCTTTTGGGTGGTTGTGGATTTGGGCTTGGGTTTTGGGTTTTTTGGGTAATTGGGTTTGATTTTGGGTCTTGGTTTTAATGGGCTAGATTTATAGCTTAAAGGATTTCATCCCCCAACTTTTGATTTCTTCAATTGAGTCATTTCTTTCTTCTTCTCCCACTTTTTCGCGAAATTTTCCTTTGTGCTCATGAACCTAACAAGAAAATCAAGAACAAAACATGAGTTAAAATAAAAATAAAACTAAAATTCTATTAAAAATTTGAGTTATGACCGTTTTTCCTTTCGCTATTGTCATTTCTAGCTACCATCTAATTCCCTTGCTTTTGGTTCTTTAAAAACCAAATCTAAGGATGAGAAAAAAAAAACAAAAAAAACAAATCTAAGACCTGCTTAATCCTCTTCGTCATTTGAATTTGGCCATCAATCTAAGGTTGGCTTAATCCACTTCGTCCCTTGAATTTCCTTGCAAGAATTTTTCTTTTTACTTCTTTCACACTTGGACCTGAAAGGACTTTAGATTGGCCATAAATATGCAAAATTCATACTAAATAAGTCATCAATGGCTAAGACTTGTGTAGGCTGGTTAAGACATTTAGATTTTAGAAAAGAGAATTTCAAAGTTGTGCGAGAGAGATAGGAAAGCCCCACCACTACAATGAAAAACTTGTTATTTGTTGTCAAACACAAAAACAAAGAAAAATATTACTATCATAATAATAGAAATTGAGTTCGTATTTAAATTATGAGGAGTTATTAATTGGGAAATAAACAATAGAGGAGTACCTTAATTAATCAATGTCTACGTAACCTTAAAAATAAATAAATGATAATCTTTAAATATATTATTATATCAGTATGTAGTACAAAATAGACATAAAAGTAGCAAACAAATGAAAAAAGAAAAAAACAAAAACAAAAACAAAACAAAGGCAATCAAAAGCTGTAAAGAGATTTGGAGTTATGCACCTTAGCCAACGTTGCTTAAGTCCTTTGCTCGTTCCAACTTGCATAGCATTGACTCTTACCGCTGTACTCTCTTCCAAATGACATCTCAACATGGATAAAATTAA